TTATATTTATTATATTATTCTATTTATTATTATTATACATTATTTAGATGTTATTATATTTATAATATTATTCCATTTATTATTATATTATTATACATTATTTAGCTGTTATTATATTTATTATATTATTCCATTTATTATTATATTATTATACATTATTTAGCTGTTATTATCATCAGGCTGTTGGAGCTTTGCCTGCTTTCTGGTTCTTATTTCCCAAATTTAATTGAAAGCCGTCCTCTCTGGGAGGAGGGGGCCCGACTCCATTCACCGACGGGCTCTTAGGTTCATTCATCTTTCTGCTGAGATGCTGCCTCAGTGGCTCCCCTCCCCCAGACGCAGATGGATGTGTGCGCACATACTCTTACACAACTGCCCCCCCCATTGCAGTGCGGATTGTGACTCACATCATTGTCGCACTGACGCTCTCTAACGATGGCGTTAGCTCCTCTGAGCTCTTTTCTCTCGCTCTCGTTTCGCGTTAGACTGTGATTATAGGTCAGTGTTTCAGGGTTTTTTCTTTTTGGTGCATTTGCTGCTGTCATGGCAACAGCAGAGCCTCAACCAGAAGAGCCCTCCAGCATCCTTTTTTTCTTTAAACCTGCTGGTTCTCGCCGTCCTTTTGCTTTTAAATCGGAATTCCAACGATTAAAACAGACGAATCCCGACATTCCCGAGCTTTGACCCGTCATAAACTCTGAGATGAAGCTGAGTCCGGGCACCAAAATGCATTTTAATGAACTGCTTTTGTTCTGTGTGGCACAAAGACAGAAAACCAGAAACTTATGAGATGATGATTTTACACAAAGATGAGAAAATGTTGTTTTATTCATTTTTGTCAGAGAAGATATAAGCAAATAAAGGTCATTTCCAGCCAGTTTGATGCATCTTTAACCTGATCAGGGCTCCATCTTTGCATCGGATTAAGCAGTTGTACACTCAAAAGGCATCTTTTGCTTCCAGATAACGCTTTAATTAACTGTCAGCTGCGGAGGAGAAGCAATATCTTTGGCTGGTCCTCCTCTCACTGCAGCATTTTTTTTTTTTTTTACAGCTATAAGAAATAATCTGGTCTGTAAGCAAAGGCTTCCAGGTGTCTGCCTCTGCCTCTTTCAGCCCCCTGAGCACGATTTAAAGGAGACGTATTATGCAAAACCAAGTTTTTAATCATGTGATTATGTACATTTGGGACTGTGGAGGGCCTATCAGCAGGCAAAGTGTGAAAAACAATGACTCAGTCGTGTTTTTGTGGGCCGCCTCAGTCTGAATCCAGGAGATAAATCAGGAGGTTTCAGGAGTGGGTAGTTTCTGACGTCATTAGCTCTAGCTCATTATAATATTCCAGCCTTTCACCTGCATGTTGCCCCCCCCCCTCAGCTTACTCCCCTATCTGTGGAGACGTCGTGGTAGCGTTAGCATGGTAGCGTTAGCATGGTAGCGTTAGCGTGGTAGCGTTAGCATGGTAGCGTTAGCGTGCCGACGTGGGCACACCTCCCTGAAGAAGTGGGTGGATTGCCTGTGTCTCATTTGCATTTAAAGAGACAGGCACTCCAAAGCGAGCGTTCTGAGCGGGGCTGTTTTGGGTTAGGGTTAGGGTTAGGGTTAGGCAGGGGGACTGAACTGCTATTGGGCTTCATCCTTATGGGATTCTGACCAAAGCTTGTCACAGACATTACATTAGGACACCAGGGAACTAGGTTAACGTGTTGAAATAGGGTATAACATGTCTCCTTTAAGCCTCTGTTTGTGTCACCTGCCTCTCAAAGAGCTTCAGAGCCTGATTCCCCTATAAGGCCCTCACCCCCCCCCGTCCTCCCTGTGTTGGTGGATCCAGCCGGCTGTGGCAGGAGAGATGTGGGTGCGACCCAAAGGCTCCTTTGTTTAGTTCTCCTCAGTCCGGAGCCTGTTCTGCCTCCCACCCTCTAACCCGGAGCTCTGGGACCTCGTTTGTTTCTCGGCTCTGAGAGAAACGGCCTCAGTGGGCAGTGATCGGCCCTCTGAGTAACCACGTTATGACACGAAAGCAGCCAAACCGGTCGGCCAGGCCCAGGAGAACTGGGACGTGGACCGGTTTCCCCCAGAGTGGTTTTTATTTACCCAGGCTCACCTTTCCTCCGGCTGTCGCCGCGTGCTTTTGTCCACCTATTTATTCAGATGCAACTGGAGACTCAGAGAAACCGGCGCGGCTGAAACCGAACAGGCAGACGGCACGCATAATCCCCATTAAGCACGCTTTACAGTTCAGCCGAGACAAAAATGGAAATTTCGCCCTTAGGTTAACCCATCAGAGAGTCGGGTTTCGCTGCTTTTATTGTTCTATTTGCTGAATACTTGAACAGAGACACGTGAGGCAGACGTCTCTTCGTTTTATGGTTTAAATCTTTGGCTTGTTACTCTTTTAAGATTCAGACTCGTGCATAGGGTTGTCAAAAGTATCGATACTCCAATAGGAAGATCCCAGGCAAGAAAATGGTCATTTCTTCATGGCAATATAGACATTAATTTAAAAATGGTGAAATTAATCTTGCCAACACTGAATTAAACTCTATCCATAATATTATGTGAAAATAGTGGATGTTAAATAGGTTTGTACAATAAGTCCAAACAAGTTTAACCAAAAGATATTTATTTCTCACAATTATGAAGGATGGAGGTTCAGGGTTAGGGTCATTAATGTTTAATGGTCGGTTTATTATTATTATTATTATTATTATTATTATTATTATTATTATTATTTATTACTATTATATTATTAATGTTTAACAGGTTTGTTTGAAACCAAAGACATTAACCTGTAAAAATTCAGTTAAATTTTGGGGTCTTTGTTTTTATCCTTCAGGTATCGAAAATGGTATCGAGTATCGAATATTTTCCTGAGGTATCCAGTTGAAAATTTTAGTATCGTGACAACCCTAGTCTGGAAATAACCTGCTGCTTTTATTGTTCTATTTGCTGAATAGATAAACAGAGACACGTGAGGCAGACGTCTCTTCGTTTTAAAGTTTAAATCTTTGGCTTGTTTCTGTTTTAACATTCAGACTCTGGGAATAACCCCTGCTGATGTTTTAAGGAGAGCTTTTATTTGGACTGAATTCCCCTTTTAAACAAACTCCAAGCGTGATTTACCCATTTAGACGTCCTGATAAATAAAGATGTGAAGCCTCTGACTCCCCTCCAGGTTGTTTGCTTCTCGGTAATTGCCAGAATTTGATGACTAATGAGCTTTTTTCTGCATCGGGCATGAGATGGAACCCTACGCAGCTGTTTTGATCGATAACTAGCAAACACAGTGGCGTGTTTGACGCGTTTAAGGTGCGATGGGGGCCCTCTCTGACAGCTCAGAGCCCGGGGGGCTGCTAACGATTCCTGCCTCCGACAGACCCACGTCACCGGACCTCGACCCGGCCCGGTTCTGCGCCCGCTTTACGTCAGTGGGTCGTCCCGGTCGTTATCTCTGCACACGAGTTTGAAAAGAGTTTAAAAGAGCTTGAGGCCCCAGCCGGTCTGCTTTCACTCCGTCTCTAAGCTCTTCTCACCCGGTGTCTTAATCTTGTAAGTGACTCTGATAGAAATGTTCCCGTTTTCCCAGCCGGCTGATTAAAAATAGCCCCCTCTGGGCAGCTGTTGGGTTCCTTATGCAACCCTCTTCATGAGCTTTGGAGTTGTGTTCCTCCTCTGAGGAAGCTGAAGGACTTCTGTGGAAGCCTGAGCTTTTTCCCTGTTTCCCTCCTCTGAGGGACAACACGCTGAAAAGGCCCCCTGTTCATCTCCCGTTTGGCCGTTTGCAGCTCTGGGAACAACTCGTGGAGCCTTCAGTCGAAGCCGGCTGATTATGGCGATCCGTACACAGATTTGTCGAGTGCCCAGACGCAAAACCTCATTAGGACAATCAGCTTTCACTGTACAAGGCACAAAAACCTGGAATTCATTACCTGCAGAACCGAAGGGAGAGTCAAACTGGGTCCTTTTTAAACACAAACTTAAAGACTTTTTATTGAGAGGTCAGACATGTGGACATTATTAATCTGACTGTCTTGCTCTTTTATCTGTGATGTTTTAGTGTGTGATTTGTTGTGTTGTGCAGTCACTGTGTTTCGTGTAAAAGCCTAACTGGGGACAGGCGTTGAGATTTAGCCGTATAGCTAAAATGTTATAGTGTGTGACATGTTTCATGAAACATACTTGTCCCTATCAAATAAACGAATAAATAAATAAAAAAATAAAATTTTAAAGGGTATAAATGTAGAAAATGTTGCATCAGAGTCCTGGGATGTTTGTTTTCCCCGTCTGGCTGAAGGCCGTGCTTTGGTTGACACCCAGTTCTGCACGTTTGCGTTGTTTCTGAGCCCTTTGTGAGCTGTTTCTAAGTCCTTTCTGAGCCCCTTTCTGAGCCCTTTTTTGGTGAAATGAGCAGAATCGAGGCCCCGCCTGATCTGCAGTTTGCTGCTCGCTGTTAAAATGAGAAGCAGGACATGATGCAAAATGTGGTGCAGATGTAAAAATGTTGGTAGTATTCTGCAGTAGAACCAGCAGAAATGAGTGAGTTCCCCTCACTTTGGTCGGACACACAGTTAGATGGAAAGCAGGATGCTGATCTGAAGCATTTCTGGAGTTTTGAAAGGCAGAAAACAGCTTTCCTCCAGCTCAAAGTGGCTGTTTTCTGAAGCTGGAAGTCTAAAATGATCCTCAGCTCTGAGTTCCAGCTGTTAGTCGACTGGTTTAAGCTAATCAGAACAAAGTTTCCTTCATTTCTGGATGCTGGAACAGAGCTGATTTTAGAAAACGAAGCCTCATTCTGGAGGAAAAGCAGCAAAACTCTGAGTTCTCTGGACTCTGGTTTTAGATCAGAGTGAAGAAACATCCCTGTTTCTTTGTTGCCATGACACATCGTTTCTTGGCGGCTTGCCCGGGACTCTTGTTTTCTTTCCCAGTGGTTCATGACTCACATCTACGAGTCTCGATGTTCCTCGTGGACTTCCTGAATCTCCCTTCCTTAGCACCCAGAGCGGTAAACACTTTACCGTTCGTCCAAAGGGGAAATGAGTTTCTGTGCATGCAGGAAGAAATCCTCGAGCCGCGTATTGTTTTTCTGTTTTTTCCTCCTCTTGGAATGCACATTAAGTCCAAATCGGTATTCAAGGTTTGCCCAAAGTGTCTTGGCGCTGCTGGGACTGGAGGGCAATGTTCTCACTCTCCTCCAGACAATGGTCTCTGAACCGGACTGGAATGCTGATCGGATTTTGTTTTGTTGGACTTTTGCTTCCCTTGTTTATGTGCCGGAAAGGACACGTTACAAAGGACTGAATAGTCCCTTTGAGGATGAATAAATCCATCTAGCTATCTAGCTATCCATCTAAAAAGCTAGTTATTTATCTAGCTATCTAGGTATCTATCTAGTTATCTAGCAAGCTAGTTATTTATCTAGCCATCTAT